TTATCATTGCTTCCATATTTTCCCAGAAACTTTGGGAATACAGTACTGTTTAGTAATTACACTGCATTTGTATTACTAAGTTGATACAGTATCCTTACAAAAATGTTGATGGCGCCATCACAAAATTTTGTAAAGTAAAAACTCATTTGAAACATATGCGTAGCACACTTCTTTACATTTATTTACTTCAGCATTATATAACGAATGTTTAATTGAAAAATTACTTAGAGAACGCGTTGAATTGCATTGGCACAAACGGCCTGTCTGTTCTTATAACATCCATTTGGCAGAAACATAACCTGTTATACGCTATATATTATAAGAACAGACATTCCGTTTGTGTCAAATGATATTTCAACGTTTACTCTGAGTGATTTTTCAATTGAACACCCGTTACATATGTTTAATTCAACTTATTGGGTTCTCAATTCTCATAAAAAAAATTGCAATTGCATCATATTTTATAGTTTTACGAAAATGCTGGATACGTTTCGTTGGACGTGCGAGGAAAGTTCTGTCATAACAACCTTCGACTAATTTTTTGGCAGTCGGTCCGCCACGGTTTTTTTATGTGACTTTAGAAACAAACGAATGCACTCCTAGACATTTATAGAAAAATATAGTTATTTATGCAACAAGTGCAAAAAGAGAGTGATTCTTGCACGCGACGTACCAATTGTCCGACGAGACCAAAGGTCGAGTCGGACAATACGTCAAGTGCAAGAACACTTTTCCACGTGTTGCATACAACATTTTTTCTATAATCGTGGGTATAATGCACCAGTTTTATTGGAGATTTTAATAAAATTTTACAACAACTAAAAGGTATCATCATGCTGTCTTATGTAGCCGTGACTACCATGACAACCAAACAAACCAAATTGCAAAATAAAATAAAACGCCATAAATAAGTAGTGAGTGAGTGTTTTGAACCGTGCTGACCCCAAAATGAACGATTCGAGCGAAAATTACCGAGAGGGCCAATGCCGCAATATTTAATTTATTGCCCGAGAAATCCCGCAAAACAATATGATCTGATCTGAGATACAACCGGTTCAAAGAATGGTGTGCGTAGAAAAATGTTGTGCAGTTAACAAAAACCGTGCTTCTGGATTATTTTTCCCATCGGTCAACGAAGGTAAAGTCTTCTACCCTCTGGTCCGAATATTCCATGATACGTGCTTCCCTTTTGGTGAAAGAAAATATGGATATAAATAAAATTGGACGTTACTTAGACTGACATTAGAGTGCAATAAAATTTTTCTTGCACTAGTGCAAGAAAGTGCCATTTTTTGCATTCTAAACCATTGACATATGAGCCATTTTTTACACGAATTTAATTTAATTATCAAATTTAAATTTCATTTTTAACATAATCGACGGTTTCAGATCAATCATCATGATCGAATTACTTGAATTGTACACGGGTGATGGAGTAAATTTTAATAAACTTATAGACGCGTTTGTGGTAGAAACTAGTGTCTACCGGGAAAATATACGAATTACAGCAGTTTACAAGCATGGAAGATTTAATCCGAATGCTCTAGACGACAGTGGGTAGGTACCAATTAAAATCTATATTTTCTAAAGAACATACGAGGTAAAAATTTCAACTTTGAATCTTTACTCAAACATAAGTTAACATGGGGTATAAAATTTAACATGGGAATCCTTATGACTACTTTTAAAAAAGATGCACTGTATATGGACTTACTAAAGTTTTAATTAAGAATTTCAGCAGTTATTACTGCGAAATATAACACATAAACTTAAATAATTCTTGAAACGTCGTAAAAATGCCTAGTGCAACTATTTATACACGCATTATGTGTCACTGTATACGCTCCTTATTTTTGAAAAATAAAGTGACACCCCATTGATATAGCGTTTACCGTAAACGCTACACATGCATATTTAGTGTTATACGTAAATAACGTTTACGGTAAATGAAAACAAGTTGTGCAGAAACTCCCTAATACATGATAGTATTGTTACGAAATAAACCCATACGCCGCCCCGGTACGACGCCTATGGGTTTTCTAGTATGTGCGGCGATGATGGGTGACTCATCGTCGGTTACGGCGGCCGGTCGGCGTTCGCTGAAGAAAACCCTGGAAGCGGAAGTACGATGGGTGCTCCAGAACAAGCCTAGAAGCGGTGACGGCGGTCTTTCGACAAGGACTATGTGCTGTTTAAATAGGAACTACCGTCGGGAACAGGCAGTGAAATCCGGACGATGGAAGAAGTAAAGTCTAGTCAAATCCATTCCATTCGAGTCGGCGTTATTCTGTAAATACTTGCTGTAAAAGTAAAAGAGGAAGTCGAACATCAACTAAAGAGTGAGTTCGAGAAATCAGTACTGGAAGATAGAGTGAAAACTATAGAAAATGGAGATTAAAATGAAGAAATTCGAAAAGTAAATGAAAAATGCAGCAACCACTGGTTCATGTTATGTGACGTCGGCCCCCAGTACAATTCAACCACCCACCTATGATGGTCAGACGCTTTGGTCATCGTACAAGAAGCAGTTTGAAGCAGCAGTGACAGCAAATCCGTGAGAAGAAGAACAGAAGGCTACAGCCTTAATGATAGCTCTGCGAGATGTAAGCAAATATAGTGCCTTAAGTACTGCCTTAGAACTGCGATTTGGAGATGAAAATCTAAAGCAAGTTTTTGCCGTTAAATTAAAGACAACAGTACATAAAGTTGGAGAATCTCTACAAGAATTTTGCAGCAAATGTCAAAAAAATGGTAGGTGTAGCATATTCCGCAACACCACCGATTTGCGACAGAATCTTTTATCAACGGTATTCGCGACGTTGAAGTTAAAAAGATGCTACAAGTATTTAGATGTCAGACGTTAGCTGATGCTCTTTTACGCGTTTTGGAAATAGAGGCTGTTTTCAGTACCACAAAAGCATGCTACAAAGTCAGCGTAGCAGAACCAGATACAGAAGAAAATAAGAAGGTAGAAAAGCTGTTGGAAAAATTGCAAAAAACAAATAGATGACCTTTTTGCTCTAGGTGTGGGCGCCAGGGACACCTCGAACGTGATTATCATGCTCGATCACCAGTTCCAAGAAGAAGTACACAACAGAGACGTTACCGATATCTAAAAGCAGCCAGTACTCACCATCGATATTGGCGCTGAAGTATCAATTGTATGCAAAGGACTCGTGGGAGCTGAAGATATAGAACCTATACCTGAAACGATCCGAAGGAAAATTGTAACTGTAGTCGATGCCGATCATGGGCGAAGCATCTACCGAAATCTGTATTGGTCAGCTGAGAAGAAGACATCGGGCTCTCGTGGCTAACATGGAAAATGACTGTAAACACTGCGACGAGGTTGAGCAGCCCAAAGCACGGTTTCACCGCATGAAGAAAGCGTCATGGAAGATGATGAATGGACTACAGCTCTGTGTAGGAAGACAAGGATATTGGTCCGCTCCTCAGATGGAAAGAAGATGAAATGGAACGACCTGGCTGGTCGGAAATATCAGGCCAGTCACCTTTTTTCAAGGCATTATGAGCTCAATGGAACTCCTTGGATGTCTAGAACGGATTGCTTAAGCGAGCCTGGGAAACTCCGGATGGACAGCATGTCACTATGCAGTTGGTGGTTCCGGCCATTAGAAGCAAGGAAGTACTTCAAGAAATACACAAGGGAGGTTCTGGTGCTCATCCTGGAATAAACAAATAGTTAGGGAGATTCTACGGGTTCCGTCGCCGGGAAGACGTCGAGAGCTGTTGCAAGGAGTATAGGACCACACAACATCGGCTCACCTTTTGGAAGAACTGCAGGAGAAGTAGCGGGTCCCCTCCCAGTGACCGAAGAAAGGACACGAAGAAGGTCAAAGTTTACGACAATGGCTTACAGAAGCTGCCGAGCGTTTACGAAACGGTGCGCCACAAGGTCCGGGTGGCGAGTGACAGAATGAAAACACGCTACGATCTTAAGGGTAACTCTGTAGGATTCCAGACAGAAGATTTGATATGGTTTTATAACTCCCGAAGAAGGAATGGTCGTTGCCCGAAGTTGTTACCAGATTGGGAAGGCCCATATACTGCCGTGACGAGGATCAATGATGTCGTTTACAGGATTCGACAAGGGCCAAAGATGAAAATGAAGATAGTTCACTTTGGCCGCCTCATGAAGTACGACAGAGACACCATTGATGTTTCCGATCGGGTTAGTGTTACAAAATAAACCCATACGCCGCCCCGGTACGACGCCTAGTATGTGCGGCGATGATGATGACTCATCGTCGGTGACGGCTGCCGGTCGGCGTTCGCTAAAGAAAAGCTTGGAAGCGAAAGTCATGATGGGTGCTCCAAAGCAAGCGTTGACGGCGATCTTTCGAGAAGGACTGTGTGCTGTTTAAATGGGAACCACCGTCCGGAGCAGACAGTGAAGTCCGGACGATGGGAGAATTAGAGTCGATTTTAAATACACGTCCAACACAGATGCTGTATAACGTTCTTAAAAGTGCACCGTTTACCCGAGCCTCACTCTACGCTGAAACGATATCGGCGTATTCAAGATTTGAAAACAAAGCCATTTCAACACATTTCATCTATAAATTAGAAATCTGTGCCAAATAAACTTTGAAGAGGCGACGTTGAATGACATACACTTGCCATAAAAATGATTGTCAGTGTCAAAACGGTTGCTAGGGACCTTCTTGATTGTTGTAGTGTTGTTATTATTTAAGTTTTTATTTAAGGTGAATATAGACGGCTCGTGAATATATGGGTGGGAACATTCTAAATTCGACTTGAGTTTTCGAAAAAATGCTATATAAAAAAGTAGTTCCGTTTCACGAGTTCTGTTACTGGTTAAAATTAATATACTTATTTCTGAGACACCTGTATATATCTAGATTTTCCGTATAGGTTAATAATAAATTCAATAATAATTACCTATTAATGATTTTTTTTTATTACTTCATTAAGATTTTTTGTGAATTGAAATAAAATATCTTCACTTTTTCGGTTAGGTAATGGATGACAGATGGGAAAGTGAAGTAATAGAATATGGAGCAATTAATATTACAGGATTTCGCATAGTCGATGTCTCTAGAAGATATGTACGTGATTTTTTAAAAAAACCGGATGCTACGATAAATCCAAATGGTGACCGTGAAAGTATATCAGCTCAAGCTGCCTTGATGTATGACGCAGTGTTTGTCTTAGTTGAAGCATTTAATAAATTGTTACGCAAGAAACAAGACATATTTCGAAATAATATCCGCCGAGGTCAAATTTTGAATAACGGAAGTAAAGGATTGGACTGCAATGCTTCTAGCGGATGGGTAACACCCTGGGAACACGGTGATAAAATCTCTAGATATCTTCGGAAGGTGAGTTATTTATTTCAAATACGAACAAATACAATAATTGTATCTATTTTTCATATGTAACAATTATTGTTACATATAAAAAATAGATCCGTTCACATGCATCTGTAATCAAAATTGTATTGCTTTATCTTGTTAAATGTAATTTCTACCCAAATTCTTTTCTACAATATTTGCAATTATATCTGCAAATCATATCAAGCCAACATCTGGTTGGTACTTCAAAATTCCGTTTTTTAACCTGAAATTTTCAAATATCTCGAAAAATAAGCACTCTCCCAAAAAATGTCCGCAACCAAAATTTAAACATTCCATGGGGGGAAATACCTTCGTGCTAAAATCAGTCCCCCTGCTCTCTCCTTGTAGGTGAGGCAAGGGGTAATTTTGAAATCTTAAATGGGAATTCCAGTTTTTTATTACAGATTCGGATTCTATGGTTTAAAGGTACGTGGAATTTTTCTGAAAATATTTTTTAGATTCATGACAGAAGACGCCAAATTTCTTTTTGTGGGGTAACTCAAAGATAAAGTTTACAAACAAGAACCAACAACAGGTGAGAATATGATTGAGCGAATCGAAAATGTTTGTGCCGAAATTAGAAATTGTGTACATTCAATATGCATAGAATTCGAAGGCCATCATCTTAAACACTTACTTTAATTGAAATATGATGAGGCGAAAGAACTCATGTAAATTAGACACTCTGATAAATGAGAGTCAAAGGAACTCACATAAATCAAGCAGCCTTATAGGTGAGAGGCAAGGGAACTCGTTTAAAGGGTACAGAAAACTACTTCGTCCACAATGTGGTTCCTGGATGACATACAATTATAAGTAGTTTATTTGCAACATAAATAAATTTTTTCGAGGACGAATTTTTTATTGCAAACGTAATGCAGAAATGTATCCATAGGTTCTGAGTAGGAGTTATAAAAAAAAATGATTTACGTCTATTCAACGCCATCTATCATAAATTGAGAAAAATATCAATTTTAATTTTGGACATTTTTTTGCAGAGTACTTATTTTCATTCGGGACCTCGTAAACAACAAAAGATAGTAATTTGGGATTACTACTTGTATTTTTAGTAGTTTTAGAATTTTCTTGTAAAAACTGAAATGTAGCGTTTCAGAAAATGTTAAATATCTTTTCAGTTTTCCAAGAAATAAATTTAATAAACCTAAACATGGAAAATCAATATTTAATGATTATGATTGTATTTCATACTCCACTATGTTGTATATATTTCACTTATTTTGCACTTTTGGGTCTTGTAGAGATATTTAATTTGTAGATAGAAATAGAAGGTTTAACAGGAGAAATAAGATTTAGTGAAGAGGGCAGAAGACAAAACTATACTTTACATGTTGTTGAAATGACCATAAATAGTGCCATGGTAAAAGTGGCTGAATGGAGTGATGAAACTGGATTCACACCGGTTGCAGCAAAATATGTTAGACTGAAAAGTAATTCTCATATAGAAAAAAATAGAACTTACATTGTTACAACTATAGTGGTAAGTTTCAGCAACCTAGATGTATTATTATTAGTCTTGAGTAGTTTTAGAATGTGATCAATTAAAAATATATTAGATTTGCATTTTTTTTTTTTTAAATCAACAAAAAAAATAAGATTTTGGAAAGAAACAAATCATACACTGAGCGTCAAAAGTACCAGCAAAATGCACGTGTGAGTTAACTTTATTGATTAAATACCCTTCCTTTTAGGAAGCTTGTTCTTTATTCACAGTTATTCTTAATTATTAACACTTTGATTAATTCATAATAGTCAATTAGTGAAATTACGTTCCGTACAACGTATTTTACGTTAACGTACACAATCGCCAATAGGGACACTGCATTTTGTATGTTTCCATAGAGATAACAGTTTTTTCTATGTTTTGCGTGTTGTATGTTCTACGGAACGTGGTTTCGCTAATTGTCTATTACTTAATCCGTAAGACCGTAGGTATCATTTACCACTTAAATTACTTCACAACATTTAACTTATTCACTGGTTAAGAGATTACAAACTGTTGGAAAAGCGCCACCGGTACACAACGAATATTACTGAACTTAAAATGAATTAAGTCAATTATACAGGGTGCTATGGAATTAAATGCAAAAAAAATAACAGGTTATGAAACTCATCATTAGCGTAAACTTTTCTGTGCAACATTTTGTTTAAAATTCAATTGTTCAACAATTAAAATTGGAAATAGATGGACTGTGAAAATCGCTACCCGCCTATATGTAATTAATACCATACCTTCTTCGATGCAACAAAAACCATGTGTGCTTCACAAAAACTCACGCTTGTATCAGGTAATCAGGTCGTCGTCGTTCACATGTGTTAATGAAAAAAGAGCAATAATAAATACTGTTATGAAATAAAGCCCTACGCCGTTCTCGTACGACGCCTTTGGGTTTTCTCGAAGGCTTTATAGTATGTACAGCGATGATGCCCGCCGCCGTCATCTTCGGTGACGGCGGCCGGGTGACGTTCGCTAAAGAAAAGCCTGCAAGCGGAAGTCGCGATGGGTATTCCAGAAAAACCTCGATAGCGGAATATCTAGGGAAGTATGGGTTTCATTGGAGGCCACCTTCGGGAACGCGGGAGCCAGTCAATGATTGGCGTCCAGCAATGACACAAGTAGACTCTAGTCAAATCCATTCCAATCGAGTCGGAATTATTCTGTACATAGCCGTTGTATAGTCGTGTAAATTAGTACCACCGAGAAATAAATTGTTGAATTTTACCCATGTCGATTTTAATACCCGATCATCATAATACTGGTGCCAGAAGTCAGATTCAAGATTAATAATTGGTTTTACCAAGATCTAAGGGCAGATTGGACAAGAATTCTGAAGATTAATACCTGTTGAGTCTAGGCGTGGGATTTTGTTTCTATAACGATAAAATATCGGTACCGATAAAATGTGGTCGTCTTTTTCTTTCGCATTTGAAATTTATATTTTCGTCATTGTCATTTATCGCTTCGTATCGTATCGGTAGAAACAAAATCCCACCCTAGAGCTCAAACTGTGAAAATGAAGAAACGAGTAAGGCAGATGAACGCTATATTCGCACAAATGGACGAAACGATGGCGGCAAGAAACAAGGAAATGGACGAGAAGATGGATGCATAAATAGAAAGAATGGACGAGAGAATGGCCACTTGGATGGAAAAACTGGACGCATGACATGAGAAAATGAATGCAATGAACGAAAAAATGAAGGCAAGAGATGAGAAAGTTAATGAAAAAATGGAAATGATGGATGCAAAAATAAACAAGCAAAAAGATGACACTAGCCTAACTAAAAAATTCCAAAAGGAAGTGAAATGAAACAAAAATGAAATAAGAGGAGTTAAAGAACAAATGAAGGAGATAAAAACAAATTTGAAGATTATGCAAAATCTTGTCGGAGAAAATGTGGTCTTAATGGATCGAAAAGTAAAAAAGGAAGTCGAACATCAGCTAAATAGTGAGTTCGAGAAATCAGTATAGGAATGTATAGAAGATTAAGTGAAAACTATAGAAGGTTAAATTAAAATTTCGATTAAAATGACAAAATTCGAAAAGTTAATGAAAAATGCAGTAACAACTAGCTCATGTAATGTGATGTCGGCCCACAGAACAATTCAACCGCCCACCTATGATGGTCAGAAGCCTTGGTCATCATATAAAAAGCAGTTAGAAGCAGCAACGACGGCAAATTTCTGGGAAAAAGAGTAAAAAGTTACACCTTAGTGATAGCTTCGCAAGGCGCAGCGCTAAAGATATTCCAAACTCTGTCCGAAAAAGATTGAAACAGATACAGTGCCATAACTGCTGCTCTAAAACTTCGATTTGGAGGGAACATCTGAAACAAGTTTTTGTAGCCCAAGTTAAAACGAGAACACAGAAAGTTGGGAAATCTCTACAAGAAGTTAAAGTATATGTGAAGAGACTGGTACGTCTTGCACACTCTGAAGCACCACCGACTATTCAAGAGAGATTTGCGATAGAAACTTTTATCAACGGTATTTGCAAAGTTGAAGTTAAGAAGATGCACAAGTATTTAGATGTCACACGTCATCCGCGTTTTGAAAGTGGAGGCTGCTTTCAGTACCACAAGAACTTGCTACAAAGTCAGCGTAGCAGAACCAGAGAAAAAAGAAAACAACAAGCTAGAAAAGCTGCTAAAAAGCCACCAGTTTCAAGAAGAAGCGCACAACAGAGATCTTACCGAGATGCAAAAGGAACCAGTACCTTGGAGGATGTGATCGTTGGTGAGAATAAGGCCGCCAGCAAAGTGAAAATAAGAAGTTTGACCAAAGGGAGTGCTTCAACTATACTGGGGAAGATTAATGAAAATCCAGCAGCAATCATCATCGATACTGGTGCTGAGGTATCAATTGTACGTAGAGAACTCGTGAGAGCTGAGAAGATGTAGAAACTATACCTGAAACGATCAAATTGAAAACTGTAACTGGAGAGAAGACGCCGATCATGGGCGAAGCATTGGTAGAAATCTGTGTTGGTCAGCTGAGAATAAGACATCGGGCTCTCGTGGCTAGCATGGAAGATGACTTCATTTTGAGCTCATTTATCAACGACAATTGATCAGTAGGATCGTGAGTTGGCACAATAAAAACCTAAATATCAGACGGAATTACACAGAGTGTTTGCAAACTTAATATATACAACAAATGGTTTCACTTCAGCGATAACAATAATCAACAAATATGTAGTTGACTGCAGGACCACTTTTCACTCACGTATAAAAAATTGCTCTCTTAATGTATGCTTGAATTCGCCGAGCCATTGATTCCTGCATCCTCCCACTCATAGTCGAATTTCGTCGAATTGTTTCAGCCACAGCATTCACACGTACAGTTAGTTCTTCCACTGAATTCACAGGGGCCGCGTACGCTAACCCCTTCATATGTCCCCACAAAAAAAATCACATGGAGTTAAGTTCGGGGAACAAGGGGTCCACAGCACTGGTCCGTTTCCACCAATACACTTGCTTTCAATATGCACATTTAACCACCGGGACATAAGCTTCTAGCGCACTCACACGTTGAAGGTGGTATGGGTGCAATCCTTGTTCGTGAAGGGTCCACCATACAACAAAGGTCGAAATACCCATACAAAATACCAATCGACAAATAGTGAAATTGGGCTCTTCGGCAACAATATCCATAATTTTGGGTTCCAGTTCCAATATCCGTTCTGTGTGGTGATGACCACTATTGTGACTGGGTGTCTAAAATTTCCCGAAATCACGTAGGTGTTAAACTGCTGCAGTAAACGTGTGTCGAGCTGAAAGGTGTCGGTTCGGGAAGCAGACACTGTACAGACGTCTAGCGTCCTGGGCGTTGTCTAAAGCCTCACCGTGCGCAAGCATTATGCAGGGTATCTTCCAAATATATACGATAATTGTAACCATAGCATCGCGTACCGTAGTAATGGGGAAATATAGAAAAAACAAATAAAAAGTCGAATGGGGCAAAACCCCCATGAACCACCCTCGATGCAATGATACTGATCCACCTTTAAAGAGTAGGTGGAAAAACGTTCGAATAAAAACGATATAAACACTTTCAATTTCAATTAAAACTGAAACCGACGTTTTGCTTGTTATCATTCGTATATTCATGCATTCATTCATCGTTAAAGGTCAGTGCGAAAGATTGTTAGTTGTAGAAACAACTGGTGGTCCTGAGAAGGACTGATATTTGATAATGCTTCAGGGTGATCGACTTTTTATTTTAACGGATCTTGCTACAATAATTTTACATTGTTTATTAGAACAAAAATATGAGGAATTTAGAATGCCACTATCTTTTTGCAATAAATGTTGAAAATGTTGTCTTTGACTAGCAATACAGGCATCAGTACGTCGCAACATGTTTGCACGGATACGTAAAATAACTTCGGGGGTTCCACGAACTGTAGCGGTTGCCACTCACACTCGTTGTTTATGCTTTTCGATAGTTTCTGGATACTGTTGATTTCCATAAATTAACAACTGTTTCATCCAATCCTACACACAAAAATCACACAGATTGAGATCGGGTAAAAACCGTGATTGGAATGGTACTTCTTGACGAGCGTGTGGATTTTCATCGGCCTAAATGTGAGTGTTGTGTAAATCCTGCTTCATCCGTAAACAGAATGCAATTTGAAAGATTAGGGCGTTCACAATATTGTTGTAAAATCAGCGAGCTCCAAAGCTTGCACTTTTTGAACGTGATATGGATGTAGAGCATTTATTTAAAATATACAGAGTGATTTCGAAATATATGTAATAATTTTAACCACGGTATCACGTGCCATAGTAGTGTGGAAATGTAGAAAAAACAAATTAAAAATCGAATGGAGCAAAACTCCCATGAACCATGCTCGATATGAAGCCACTGATCCACCTTTTAAACCGTCGGTGGAAAAACATTCCAACCAAAACGATGTAAATACTTTCAGTTTCAATTAATAGTAAAACCGACTTTTTGTTGGTTACCATTTGTTCATTCATTCATCGTTAAAGGTCACTGCGAAAGATTATTCGTTGTAAAAAAAAATGGTGGTCCTGAGGAGGATCGATTTTTGGTAATGCTTCATGATGATCGACTTTTTATTCTGACCAATGTTTGGTCCTTGTCACAAGGATTCCACATTGTTTATTAGAACAAAAATAAGAGCAACATAGAATGCTACTACCGTTTTACAAGAAATGTTGAAAATGTTGTTCTTGACTAGCAGTACAGGCTTCAGAGCGTCGCAACATGTTTGTTGATAGTAAAAAAACCACCGGGTGTTCCACCAACTGTTCCACCAACGGCTGCCACTTCCACTCGTTGTTGAAGCTCGCTCTCATTTATGTAAAATCATTGTTGAAATTGTACATCTTGACGAGAGTGTGGATTTTCATCGGATCAAATGTGAGTGTAGTGATTGTTGAAAACAGCATTGCGACTGAATCCTGCTACATCCGTAAACAGAATGCACTTTAAAAAGTTAGGGTGTTTACGACACTGCTATAACAACGATTTGCAGTAAATTGCACAATGTGGACAATTAGCGCGCTCCAAACCTTGGGCTCTTCTTCGACGCGTTCCAAAATTTGTTCTTGAGTTTGTAGTATTCTTTCGGTGAGTTTGAGACTTGAAGGTACCATGATCTCAGAGATGCTGTACCATTGATATAAATGTTCGCACACACGGAATCATGCCATACCATAAGGCATTACCATGTCGACACGCTCTGAATTGGAAAAAATTCACCATTGTCAATGATATAAACCGAACACACGACCGTGACCAACTGATAGTTACATGACTGGCCCTTATCGTGTTTTTGCACGTTCCTTATCAGTGCACCGCTTTTTGGTTTTTAATCCTAGTCGTTCTGTGCCATTCATCGTATAGTAGTTATGGTAGGTCAAGAAACACTGCCAGTGGCGTGTATAACAATTTGTATTTAATTTCAAATAATTTTTTCTAGACATGGCTACCAGTTGCGAACGTGAAGTTTACACATTGCAATAATCTTATGAGATATACCTCATTTTTTTATCGCACACATTTCGAAATCAAGGTATATAATATCCTTGTATTCTACGTTGGTATAAACCATTGTATGTACCACTTTTTGCTTTTGAATCCAAAAAAAAGGGTTTTCGAAAAAATGTTATATAGCAGTTTCATATGATGAGTTCTACTACCGGTTCAATTTTTTGCATTCAATTCCATAACAGGCTGTATACAGGGTGACTGCGAAATATATGCAAATATTTTAACCACGGCATCCCCCACCCTAGTAGAGCCGAAATATAGAAAAAACAAATTAAAAATCGAATGGGGCAAAACCCCCATGAACCACCCTCGATACGAAGGCACTGAGCCACCTCGTAAACAGAGTTGGAAAAACGTTCCAATAAAAACGACCTAAACACTTTCAGTTTCAATTAAAAGTAAAACCGACTTTTTGCTGCTTATCATTCGTTCATTCATTTACTCATTCATCGTTAAAGGTCAGTGTGAAAGTTTTTTGGTAATTTTGATTCTGACGGATGTTTGGTCCTTGTCACAACGATTTTACATTGTTTATTGGAACAGAAATAAGAGCAACTTAGAATGCTACTACCTTTTGACAAGAAATGTTGAAAATGTTGTCCTTGACTAGCAATACAAGCGTCAGAGCGTCGCAAGAGGTTTGTTGATAGGTAAAAAAACACCGGAGTAGCGCCTGCCACTTTCACCTGTTGAAACTCTTCAATAATTGCTGGACACTGTTGATTTTCACAAACGAATTGTTTCATCCAACCAATACACGTTTATCGAAAACCGTCTCTTGAAATCGTACTTGTTGACGACTATGTGAAGTTCCATCGGACAAAAAGTGAGTTACACAACGTGGACAATCAGCGGGCTCCAAACCGTGCACTTTGTCAACATGGTATGGATATGACCGTGTTCTTTTAATGTAGGATGCACAAAAGCTGCGATAATCCAAATTCTCCTTTCTGCCCCATCACGAGCACGATCGTGAGTTTGAGGTTGAAGGTACCATCTCGGAGATGCTGTACCACCATATCGACACACTCTGCATTGGAAAACTGGACCATACACCGATTTCAACGACCGCTCGATAATGACTGGCCCTTTTCGTGTTTTTCACGTTGCGATTAAAAAAGTGCCTGATAAAGTTACTTTTTTGGTTCTTACTCCGAGTCCCCTACCCATTCATTGCAGTAATTATGTAGGTCACGAAACATTACCAGCGGCGCGTATAACAATTTACATTTAATTTAAAATAATTTTTTCTAGACATTGCTACCACTTAGGACCGTGAATTTTTGCCAGTGACATAATCATATTGTGAGCTATTGCCCAATTTTTTTTTTGCATGTATTTCGCAGTCAGCCTGTATAAGGAGGGAAAATGCAAAATTGGAATTTTCGTGCTGATATTATAATGCCGGTAATGCTAGGTACTAAAAAATATCTACCAAAGATAATAATTCATTATGTGCAGTGTTACTACACTTGCGTCATTATAAAAAAAAACGGTTATGTAATTCCATAACAAAAGTAGTAACATATACAGTAAATGCCCATTTATTCATTTTAGTATTCAATTTGATTTTCACTCATTCAAGTATTTATTGAGCTAATCATTTCAGGATATGTTACTCCCCGTCCTTATTTTATTTACTGCTCATATTTTTGTATCTTTTGCAGTATGTTAAATGAAAGTAGTAACTTGTTGTTATTTTGACAAACCTTTAAACTAATCCGTAATAGCTATTAATATACCTAGGATGTAAAGAGTGCCATAACCGCCACAACTGTCCGTTTGAAATCCGAGCGTTTAGCGAGAATTTTAAGATGGCTATAAGGCGGTTAGGGGTTAGGGCACCGTTTACATCCGTGGTGTGTTCAAGATTTTAACGGTTTCTGTCCATTTTAATCCAATAATCAAAAAATTACTTAAAAAATAAATAAATTTGGTTGATCACGTTTGCATGATATATTTCGGTGTCATAGTTACATTTTGCTGTTTATTAAAAAAAAAATGTCAACAGAATTAGAAAAATGATGAAGTTAGGCGAAGTATTACCCGAAAATGTTAAAAATGCAGCCAGTCAAGCATTAAACAGTTTAAATAAAACCGATAAAGTTACTTAAATCCTTGCTTTTCACATTCATTGCTTTTCAATTTCTTGACAAATGTTGACAATTGATATTTTGATAAAGTAATATATTACCCTACCGATTTTACAAATAAGATACAGTTATGGCTTTCCTACCAGCCAACATTTATAAATGTAAACAGGTATTTAATAAACAGAAACCGGTAAAATATTTAACAATTTTAGTTTCGTGATTTGTTAGCCTGTATCTCGCGCAAAATTAATCTCATCTGAGGAAGTCGGCTTACATATAGGAGTAGTTTTTATATCTTCTTGCACGTAATAAAATGAACGAAAGTTCCTGTACATGATAAACATTCTTAATTTTTAACACTGATGGGAATCGTGGGTTAACAAAATAATTACTTAGGCCCGGTATTTCAGTTATTGGTTAAAATCGTTGTTAAGAAACCATAGTTACGCTTTTACCAAAACTTTAACCAACAACCGGTAGTTCAGTAGCGAAATTTTGGTTAAGTATATCTTGGTTATCTAACCAACATTTTTCTTAAGTTGGTATCATCAGAGAACATAGAGAAGCTCCATACTTTAAATCAAATGACGGTTAAGGACTTCTCAATTTATGTTGGTAGCAGTGTTTGTTTCTAACTAGGAATAAAAGTAACTAGAAGAAATGTCATAATATTTTTAACGACGCGTTTTATTTTAGACAAATTGACACTAGATTTACCAGAATATTACAAGCTGCTTACTGTTTCCTTCACTTTCATTCAGGTCACACGAATTACAATTATAGTGAAGCAAGGTTTTTATTGGCGGTTAAGGACTCCAATGTCAATAAGGGTGGTTTTGCAAAATCACCCTCTATGTCACTTCTCTATGTTCTCTGGTATCATTATTGGTCTTACCAGTTCAAAAGAGCATGCGCAAGAAACTAGATACTCCTATAATCTTTCATATTTTGAACGATTAACCGCATATACGGACATGATACGGTTGATTGTTTTTAATCTCACTTTTGTCTTATTTACGTTTTTTCCCTGTGAAAAAACATTGTTATATTTTAAGTGAATCATATGAAAAGTAAGAAAATGGCAAATATTTAATCTCCTAGTGATAGAGACTCAGAAGATGAGCGAATTTTTAATTTTGTCGTACGCTTGGGACGAATTCGTAAAATTTCTAGACTACAGATACCTACGCAATAGTAGGTATAATCTCATAAACTAGTTTGTTAATGAAAACGATTAATAATAATCGACACTTGTAGTGAAATATGCTTAACCAAAACTTCGTTTGGTTAACTATAACTTATCGAGAAAAATATTAATTAAACCTAAATTAGTGTTATTTATTTAATAGTTTTTCGACTTCAACGGTTACAATTATTGCAGTAAAAATGGTACCAAAAACGACTCATGTAGTATGTGTATTGTTCGCTCTTATTCTGTTTCATTTGGTAAAATTTTTCACTTTTCTAGGAAGAACCTTATATAATGCTTCGTACTCCTGAACACGGTGAAATTTTAACAGGCAATGATCGTTTTGAAGGTTATTGTAAAGATTTGGCAAATTTAATAGCTAAACACTTAGGCATTAATTGTAAGTTATTATTAAAAATATATAAAAACCACATGAATGTTAACTTCACCTGTTAATCTAGGTGCGCGATGTAATCTTGTTCATTCTCAGAACCAAACAATGTTACAAAACTTTTTTTATGCAACAAATAGCATGCATTCTACTCTTTGACTCATTCAAATTGTGAAATCTTACGAAATCATATGCTGCTAAAGTCGCAGACAAAATTTAACGACAAAAAAACGTCATTTGCGTAAACATTTTTAGGAGATTCGTGTTCTTATAAGCTATATAGGTACATAGACGTGGGTTTGCCTCAATTTAATGTGGTAAAAATTTTGATTAAAACCATAGTGTCACTCATACGCCAAGTGAATGTTTATATTCACAATGTATCTGTCACTTGTGTCACTCTGTTTTTACATTTAAATGTAGTGACTAATAATAAGCTTCAAAATTTTGATAAATCAAGTGTGGGGTATTGGTGCGAATCCACTTCCTTGTTACATTTTTGTCTTCGACTTTATATCCGATATGTCACAAACTAGGTTCATTTCTTTTACTTCAAATTTCTCGATTCAGTCAAAATCATTCTGTCTACATCTGTGATAGCCAAGAATCTGCTACTTTGTCCGAAATACCTACATCTACTTAACCCAAATTTATCAATGAAACACCTCATATTATAATGGTGATTTTATAATAAATAATATTAGAATTCTATTTAAAATTTATTGTTTGAAAAAGCACGGTGATCTAATAATATGAAATAAAACGGGAAATTATATGCAGGGGTGTTAAACTCATAGAAAGTAAAAGGCCCCTTTTTAGTTATACTACTGTACTTGGGGTCGTAAATTCAAATAATATTAATAGTTGAACAACGATTTTAAGTTATATTAAAGTTTATCGTGGGCAGTATACCGGGATATTTTTTTTAACTCTGAACATACCCCATGCCTAGTTCCTATGTTCAGAGTTAAAAAATGTTCTTGTATAACTATACACGTAATAGTCAGGAGTATAAAATAGACTGAATGACGCGGATGGCATTTTTGACATACTTTACCGAATGTGTAACGTTTTTAATAAAAAAAAATCAAATTCAGTCATGGTTTGATTGTTTTCACATTGTGTGTGTTGCGAAAATGTTAACAGGTGGTGTTAATGTAGATTTTAGCTTAATTGTACAGAATGAATTGCTGGGATTTTTATAGATGAACTGCGAATTGTGAAGGATGGAAATTATGGTGCTGAAAACCATGAAGTGAAAGGTGGATGGGACGGCATGGTAGGAGAACTTGTTCGTCAGGTAATAATATTTTTCATATTAGCATTCTTGTTATTATAATTAAATAATTATAAATTGTTTCAAATTTTCACAAATTATATTGGTTAGCATTTCAAATTTAAATTTTAATTTAAACTGGGATACCAAAGTACTGAAATTTTCAATATGCGAGTTTTGTTTTACTATTAATAATTTTAAATTGGATCAAGGGTAAAGTTGTAGATTGTGGTTTATTTATTTTTTTTTTTTGCAATATAGAAGTACTTATTATGCACTGTTGCTTTGGTGCTGCACGTATTATTTTGCTGTTTTATAGCATTTATTCCCAACATTTTTGCAGGAAGCTGACATAGCTATTGCTCCCATGACAATAACTTCTGAACGAGAACGAGTGATTGATTTTAGTAAACCATTTATGTCACTGGGTATTTCTATTATGATTAAGAAACCAATGAAGCAGAAGCCTGGAGTATTTAGCTTTTTGAATCCATTATCTAAAGAAATTTGGGTTTGTGTAATATTTAGTTACATTGGAGTCAGTATTGTGTTGTTTACCGTATCAAGATTTTCTCCGTATGAATGGCGTTTGCTTCACCTTACTGGAGAACACCGAGAACCGCCAGGACAACACAATGCACATGGTTCAATGGCCAACGATTTTACAATGTTAAACTCTTTGTGGTTTTCGCTTGGAGCGTTTATGCAACAAGGATGTGATATATCACCTAGATCCGTTTCTGGAAGAATTGTAGGAGCTGTTTGGTGGTTCTTTACACTAATTTTAATATCATCATATACCGCTAATTTGGCAGCCTTTCTTACTGTGGAAAGAATGGTAGCTCCAATAAATTCCCCTGAAGATTTAGCTTCTCAAACAGAAGTAGAATATGGTACTCTTTACAATGGCGCTACATGGGATTTTTTTAAGGTAAGTTTTTATTGTTTGTTTTTGACCAAAAAAATTAAAATAAGATTTGTTTTACTTACTTAATGAGAAAGACGATAAATAAAGAAAATTGATAACGTTAATAAAATTTAGTATTTTTTCGTCTTAAAATGAGGCAGTGTGTTATAATATTGTAGCATTTGTAGCATGCTATAAACTATTTATGTACCTATGATAAGTAAAACAGTTGCAAATAGACATTATGATCTAAGATTAATGTAAGTATAATCAATAATATGTTTCAAAAAATTATACTGCAATGGCAGTTAAACAGTATTTCATATAAACGTTGCCCTTATGTAAGTAACGATACCTTATTTTATTCACTTTTTTTTTTTTTTTTTTTTTTTATTTGTACATTTGGTCGCATCGACAGCTAGGTCATTAGCAACCTTACATGGTAGGGAAAACACACTTAGTAAAAAGAAAAACCCTTCTATATGCATTCAAACAGCTTAATATGTTTAAGGAACAGAAGGATGTTGACCACGTTCGGGATGGTACTTCCTAGCGCTTCGGCGAGGTTGGGTGATATTTGGAAATGGTTGCGTTGGGTTTGCCAGTGGGGACAATCGCAGATGAGATGCTGGACAGTTTGACGGCATCCGCATTGCTGGCAAGTAGCTGGGGAGGTGCGGTTGAGCAGGTATCCATGGGTGAGCCGAGTGTGTCCTAATCGCAACCGCGTTAAAACGACTTGATCACGACGATCTGGCGGAAGTGGAAGTATACAGTTAACTTCTGGCTTAATCTGCTGCAATGCTGTAGGCGTAGAGGTCCAGTCTGTTTGCCACTTTTGAATGATAGCCTGTTTAAATAAACTTTTGGCGTCAGGTGCTGGGACTAACAAAATTTCTGCGGCAGATTCCGATTCGACTGCTTCTTTAGCAGCCCTGTCAGCTTCTTCGTTTCCCGATATGCCAGTGTGAGATGGAACAAAGATGAAACGGACGGTTTTGCCGCTATTGGAGAGCATGGTCCACACTTCAAAAATTTGCATGATCAACGGATTGGTTGAATAAATATTTCGCAGTGCGCTTAGACTGGCTAAAGAGTCGGTACAAATGCAGTATTTAGAGGCGCTCATCGTGGTGATAATCTTGCAGGCTTGGAGGAGAGCGTAGAGTTCGCCCGTGAACACACTAGCTGGAGATGGTAGCCGTAATAGTCGGCGTACGGAAGGCCCAACGACGGCTGCACCGACGACGCCTGTGACTGATTTCGAAGCGTCCGTGTATAGAAAAGTCGAATCTGAGCAGGTTGCTTGTAAGGTATGAAATTCTGTCTGGATCACTGAAGCGGGTGTATTAGTTTTGGTGAACTGGAGGAGAGTGGTGTCTGGTCGAAGAGATGGAATTAGCCAGGGCGGGGGTGTAGCGAACTCATATGGAAGAATAGCGGGGAAGGACGGTATTCCGAGAGTTACCAGATCTTGTTGAAGGCGAATTGAGATGGGTGGGATTAGGTGTCGTTTGCGATCAAATAGTATAGTCAGGCGATCGGTAAATACATGCTGGAAAACAGGATTGCTGGGATTTCTAGAGGTATTAGCTGCGAAGGATAACTGAAGGTACTTGAAACGGAAAAGAAGAGGCGGTTCCTTTGCTATGCTATAGAGGCTGATAACTGGGCTTGTGCGGAAGGCCCCAAGGGCTATTCGTAATGCAGAATTCTGAAGAGTGATTAGAGGTGTAAGGAGCCTGGGACGGCATGCTGAGTAGGCCACTGCTCCATAATCAAGTTTGGGTCGTAGTAATGTTCTGTAGATACGAAGGAGGATTTGGGTGTCGGCTCCCCAAATAGGATGAGAGAGGACTTTCAGAAGGTCTACAATTTTTAGACAGGTAGCCTTTAAGTGATCTATATGCGGTTTCCATGAGAGGTGCTGATCAAAAACCACTCCTAGGAACTTGGCTTGAGGAACATAGTCAAGATTTATTCCCTCAAGCTGGAGGGGTGGAGGTAATTGCCCGCTTTTCTGCGAGAAACAGATACATTTCGTTTTTTCGGCTGAGAATCGAACTCCGTTATTTTCGGACCAGGCCTGGACAGTGTGTATGGCTCTTTGGAGTAGACTGGTTATTGATTGGAGTTCCTTTCCTTTTATGTAGAGGATGAGATCGTCAGCAAAGAGGCCACCTTTTACAGGGTGGTTTACATCCTTGAGAATATCATTGATTGCTATGAGAAAGAGAGTCACACTAAGGACGGAGCCCTGAGGGATGCCGTTTTGTAAGTTCTTTTTTCTCGATAACGTGTTGTTTACCCTTACTGAAAAAGTACGGTTGTGTAAGAAGTTAAAAACAAAAAAATAAATGTTTCCAGTGAGTTCCCATCGAAGAAGTTGGTCTAAGATTTTATGCCGCCAAGTCATATCATAGGCTTTTTCAATGTCAAAAAAAACAGCCAGAACTTTGTGTCTATTAGCGAAAGCTTCGCGAATTTCAGATTCGAGATTAATAATGTTGTCGGCTGTGGAACGAAGCTTTCTAAAGCCACTTTGATGGATGTTTAAAAGATGTTCCTTTTCTAGATACCATACAAGTCTCCGGTTTATCATTTTCTCCATGAGTTTACACATTGTGCAAGTAAGAGAAATGGGCCGGTATGAGTTAACATCGAATTTAGGTTTGTTGGGTTTTAAGATTGGAATAATAATAGCTTCTGACCAGAGCTCAGGAAAGGAATGGCCAGTCCAGATGTCGTTGTAAAGATTTAGGAGGATAACTTTTCCGGTGCAAGGAAGATTTTGGAGAAAGATGAAAGGTATGTCATCTGGACCTGCAGCAGAATTGGGACAAGCTTGAAGTGCATTCTCTAGTTCTTCCAGGGAAAAAATATTGTTGAGTGGGTGGACTGAATCGATTTGGGGGGGCGCAAAAGACGATTCCACTTGGTTTTTGTGGGATAAAAAGGCGGGGGTGCAGTTTGCATTGCTTGAGGCCGTCTCGAATTTTTGTGCAAGAAGATTTGCTATGCCTTGATTGTCATCAATAACAGAACCGTGAGAAATTATCTGCGCAGGACCCGGTTGATAAGTATTACCCTTAATACGTTTAATTCTGTCCCATACTACCTTGGTAGGAGTATTGCTGTGAAGGGTGGAAACAAAGTTCATCCAGGAGTTTTGTTTGGCTCTTTTGATGATAAGACGTGTTTGTGCACGGAGTTTTTTGAATTCAATAAAAGAGTCTTGTGATTTTTTACGTTTCCAAACATTGAAGGCTCTTTTGCTTTTTCGCAATGCTTCTGCACATTCTACGTTCCACCAAGGGACAGTTTTTCTTGGTATTAGTTTGGTCTTTCCAATATGGTTATGAGCGGCACTGACTATAAGGTGATTGAGTTGAGATAGAACACTCTCTGGACTCATGTTAGTATTTAACGACCCTAAATTTTGATCGATTTCTGCTTGATATTCATTCCAATTAGCCCTCAGGAGATTCCATCTAGGCTTAAACTGACCAACTGCAATATTCGGATTTGAAGGTTGTGAGAGCAGGTCCAACTTAATTGGCAAGTGATCACTTCCATATAGATATGAGTAAGGGCTCCAACTGAATATATGAGCCAAAGAGGGGTCACAAAATGCTAGATCTAAGGCCGACGTAGTGCCTGTAGCTATGTTGATTCTAGTGGCCTGTCCAGTATTTAAAAGGACCATGTTGGTGGAGCCAAGGAAGTCCTCAACTATTGTGCCTTTTGAAGATGTTGTGATAGAACCCCAGAGAATGTTATGTGCATTGAAGTCTCCTACAATGATGCACGGGTGGGGTAGTTGCTGATAAATATTTTCTAATTCCTCGAGAGAAAATGTCGTTGAAGGTGACAAATATATGTTACAGATTGAGAATGACTGCTTGAGTGTCACTTCAATCGCAATCGCCTCAAGACGAGTTTGTAGTGGAATTTGCATTGCCTGATAGGAAGAATCTACGTATATAGCCACTCCACCACTAGCTATAGAACTCAGCAATCTGTTTTTATAAAAACAAGTATATTCTTTATGGCAGTAGTAATGGTTGTTTTTAAAATTAGTTTCCTGTAAGCACATGATAGAAGGACGACATTCAGACATTAAAACTTGCAATTGAGGAAGGCGGGTATAAAACCCGTTTAAATTCCATTGTAATATGAATGGGCTATGAGAAACTTAAAATGTCTGGGATGAATCGGTTGCTTCGCCGTCATCATCTGAGGGATTAACTAGTGGGTTTAATTTCTTCCGAATCTTAGTGAAACGGGTTTTCATCGTACGATTTGTCAGATGTGGATATAGTTGGTAAAGCATATCTATTAGTTTTGCTAGGTCTTGAGTAAATTCTTTAGCTACTGCTATTGGGTCTGCGGAGCCGGTTACATTTTCCAAAAAGATTTGAAGTTGATCGTAGGATAAAATGAATTGGTCTGGATTCTCTTGCATAATTGGTTTCAATGGTTGAAGATGTTCAGCTATTTTGCTCAAATTTCCATTATCTGAAGTTAGACTATCAGAAGATAAACTTTTCTTGATTTTTTTGGACTGTTGAGCTGGCCTTGTGGGTTTTAAAAATTCTGGAGCAGTATTTAATTGGGATGCATTGAGGCCTTGGAAAGGTGAACTAGAAATATCTTCCACTGGCGACCAAGATAAAGAGTCAGCTGCCCGTTTGTTAGGAGGCTGAGGGACAGTGTTAACTGCATCACTGGTGTCCATAATTCTTTGGAAGACAGAGGTAGCAGGTGCAAGGGTATTTAATGCTGGCAGGGGATCCTTTGCTAGACTAGGAGGGTTGAGCGGACTTTCGACAGAGCCTGCGTTACTTGACATCTGCCCTTCTTGCGAATTTTCTGGGACAACCGAGGTAGCTGTTTCTTGGGGGGTGTTATTAGGACATGTGTTAGCTATGTGCCCAGCAACTTTACAGGAGAAGCAAACCAATTCGTCATACGATGTGAATATTCGGTAAGTCGTCTCATCGAAGTTAATGAGTATGGATGAT